ATGTGCAATCTTTACAATACAAAGATTGACCTTTGGAATTTTGTTGGATGTGGATCATGAATATATCGCCCTTCGTAGAACTTGAAGAACTTTGACATCGGCCCGACATTCAAATGGCGCTCGAGTTGAATAAATTTGGGTGTCTGCTAACTGCCGGTTGTCAGTCTATTTGGGCACTTGCTGAGAGTCGGTCGTACCGTTCGTTCGTATTTCCCAGCAGGCTTGCCATGGTTGTTTGGACTGGCAGCTGGAAAACTAAACATACATCAAGAGCAATAAACATTCAGGGGTAAGTAACAATCCAAGATATAAATCCAAGATATAACAAAAGTCGATATGAGAGGGCTAACTCCTGAAGGAATGGAAAATTGCCTTTTTGTCCCCGACTCACAGAACATGAGCTAGACTGCGGTAGGGAAACTACAGTTGCATAAGTTAACCTGAATTTCGTGCAAGGTCATCGAAGGACTTATTAAAGCGCAATTGATGATGTATATGGAGAAAAAGAACCGATTATCTACTACCCGACGCGGTTTTCACCATTATCACTCATGGCTTACGAGCGGTCTTTAACTGCAGGAAAAATTGATAAAAACCATAGGATTGATCTGCCCAGAGATGGGATTTTTTGATTTAAGGAGGTGTTTGGTAGCGCACCTACCGTACCCCTTACAATAGATTTCATAAAGTGGAGTCCAGGGCATCTCTAAGTGAGTTAAAGGCTTCCTATCATTGAGGCGACAAAGAAGAACTGTCGGAAATACTTCATCTGGACAGGCACCAGTAGAAATTATGTTGGGTATTAGATTACCATCTCTTCTCCAAACATATTAACGACTTTATTGAGAACCTCTACTATCATGCCGTCTTATTTGCGTATTACATAACAAATTTGGAAAAAATCAGCCGTGCAGAACTTGCAAAAACTTCATGAGAACGTCCGGTCCTGCAAATGACCTCTAACGCTTGGTCCACTGAGATTCGTAGTCTTGCGCTTGGAAGCTTGTCGGTGACATTTTAAAAACTCCATAACTATATAAATCGAGTTTCACTTGGAGTCATGAATAAACATTAAAATCTCCTATCTGGACAATGTCAAACGTGTCGAACGCCAAACATTGTAAAAGAGCCGCCCAACAGGCAACGAGCATCATGTACTGGATTGGGTGCAATTTCGTACATGCCTATGACTGGATGTTTTATGCCTGCTGGGGGCACTTGACTATACACTTCCCAGAATGATGGCTGCAAAACTGGTACTATTGCGATTTCGGATACGAATAAGTAGTTCAATAATTAGGGACTAATTTCCTAAATAAAGTGAATCATAGTGACTCACGTCCTGCGTCACTGCAAGTATGATATAAAACACCCTCGTTACCTTTGCAAACGACCATATTTTATGCCTAACGTACATAACTGCATTTATAAGCCCGATGGCATATCGGTAGGGCCATCAAAGATCCCGCCCATGAAACTCAAACGTATATACGTTATTGGGAGTTCCCACTAGTTTTCCGACCTTTAGTAACCATTGGCAAGTAAAATTTAAATTCACCTGTGATGACAATTTACATGTATTTATTTCCGTATGATCTTCCGACTCAAAAATTCAATGAACATATTGTATGGCATCATGAGTCAGGTGAAATGGCGGTGCTGCGTGTCTTGAAAGTTCTCAGCTGCGCAAAATTCTGTAGTCAATCCACCACGTTGACAACTGTAATATAACGAAGTTTAGGTTACTCTATATGCTCCTGATTGATTTAAACAGTGCGGTATCAATCATGGCCCTGTATCTCAAGCGAAAAATACGGCCAAGTTTGTTTTGTGATCGCCCATTGTCTGGCGCTCATTTACTCTCAACGGACTCTCACCTGTGCCTCTTCGAAGTTACGCTTTACCTAGCGGCCCCACTCTGGTAACCGCCTCGACCGGCAGGCTAACCCAACTAAGGGCATCAATATGTGTATCCCCACACACGGCAACACTGCCTCCCCCCTTTCATCCCTTCTCCATTTCCATTCCCCCATGCTAATTCCCCGTCTCCTTTCTCGTCTAACCTACTTCCTTCCCTTCTCTACACTCTCTGATCTGTCTACTCTCTGCCCCACTCTCTTGCTCCCGGTCGAAAAGTCTTATTGCGAGGACGGCATGCAGTCGCACAGGCAGCCTAGGCCGTTGATGGTCATCTCGCTAAGCCAAGTGACTCATAATAGGGAGCGACAGCCGCCTGGGATGCCTAAGCAGCCCCAAATAGGGACAGAACTGCTCCCACCATCGCGGGGGAGGGCACCATCAAGGGCATTCTAAGCAAATGTTTGTTTTCCGACATCTGGTCGCAGACTACGGCTGGCAGACTACCGCACATGCGTTCAAAAGCAAAAAAACAGAGACCATGACATATTTTCCTACTTTCCTGCCCTCAACACCACGCCACGGGTTGGCAAGATGAATTCGGTCACTCTGGCAGTCTGGAATGTTCATTTCCACTCGGACAAGCCCAGAAACAACCGGCCGGAACGAGGGACCGCGCTAGTAGTCCAGGAACCGGCGTGCTATAAGGTGAACGCCGCTGTATTCAGCGAGAATCGTTTTGCGAACAAGGACAATTGGAGGAATTGGGTGCCGGCCACACCTTCTTCTGCGGCGACCGCCCCAGGGCAGGGAAACAAGACGCGGGCGTCGCCTTTGTCACCCAGAACGACATCGTTGGACGATTGTCCTGTCGACCGCAGGGCATCAAAAAATGTCAGACTCCCTGATGCCGTCGTTCTTTCCGAAAGTGTCAAATCCTTTAAGTGCCGACTAGATGCTCATTTTTTGAGAACATACTGTACATATAATAACGATTGTTTTAGCGGCGGGAGTTTGCGCCTAGCTCACACTTACCGCTAACTTTTTATTTTTTCGCATTTGCTGATGTAATTGATGACTTTATTTCTGTTTATCGATATGAATAGGGAGCTCAAGGGCGAAAGCCTCATTCCCTTAATAAATGGACTTAAACGGACTTATCATCACTTGCCTCTTCGAGGAGGCCAATTCTCAACCATCGTTGTCGTCTGCGCACCCTCCAACCCTGAGGCGGCAAACAACAAATTCTACGAGGACCTATACGCCCTTCTGGTGACTGTGCTTAAAGCGGATGTGTCGATTGTTCTTGGTGAATTAAACGTCCGCATCGTCACACACCATGTCTCTTGGACAGGAGCGCTGGTTCCAATGATTTCGATTGTTCCAGTGACAATGGCCTGCTCCTCCTGCGAACCTGCGCAGAAAGCCGTCTGACCCTGACCCAATAACTTTTTCCGCCTACCGACGCGAGAGGAGTCCACCTGGATGCACCCTCTGTCGCGACAGTGACACTTGCTGGAGTATGTCCTCGTCCGGAGGCGAGACCAGCGGGACGTGCAGGTGGCAAAGGCAATCCCGGGTGCTGATGGGTGGATGTCATCTCAAATTTGAAGATTCGCCTACAGACATTACGGTAAGTGGCCACCAGGCTAGTTAAGCGCTGGTTTGTTAAATATGCCTACTCACCACCTCCAGTTCAGCCAATAGCTAACTAAGCGGATAGCCAACCTCTCAGTCGCCGCCACAGACAAAGACGCCTCCGGGGATAGCCGATGGCGCGAATCGAGGGCGAAGTCCAATCAACACTCATGACTGCCTTCGGCCGCGCACGCTCCAAACATAAGGACTAATACGACGACAACGACGCCGCCATCAGCGACATTTTCACCGAAAAGAATCGTCTGCAAAAAATTTACCTCACTCGCCCTGTTGTTTGAGGTGAAAAATGTACCAAAAATTCAAAAAGTAAGCTGTAACCAATAGGAACAAGATACCCAAGGCCAAAGCCATTCCGCTGGAGGTGCTCAGACGATACTGTCACGGATGATGAATCCTAGTGAAATGCCAACGACAAGCAGGGCGGTGGAAAGTGAAACCGAGCAACGGTAAGTATGAATGCAAAATACGCAGGACGTAAAGGACTGAAGCTGTAATTATTAATTTGTTCAATAATAACCAAACGTTTCCCCTTCCTTCGCCCAGTTGGAAGTAGTAAGTATGAAACCTAATAAAAGCACGCCTACTGATAGGAAGCAAGTACGACAACAATGTTGACTCATAATCCCAGGCTACTCGCATTTGTCTCGTCGACACAAATTCTTCAGCATTACGCCGAACAATTCAGAGGCGTCCTTAACCGCCCCTCCACCATCGACGCCGCAATCGCCCGCCTACCTCAAGTGGAGACCAACGCCTACATCGTCCTCCCGCCTTGCACGAAACCACCAGGGCCGTGCAGCAGCCCTCCAGCGGGAAAGCACCCGGATCGGACGTGAGCCCTGCTGAGATTAATAAGCACGGCGTACCCAAACTCATGGGTCAACCAACAGCAATCTTCCAGATGTGTTGTTAGGGAGAAGCCCCTCAGATTTTAAGAACGCCACAACTGTTCACCTCTTTAGGCGGAAATGTGATCGGCAGCTCTGCGGCAGCCTTCGAGGCATTTCCCCGCTGCATATGGTAGGGAAGATCTTCGGGTGCATCCTTCTCAACTGCCTGAGCAGCCACCTGCAACAGGGTCTCCTTCCGAAAGGCAAGTGCGGGTTGCGTCGTTATCGCGGAACCACCAACATGACAGTCGCCGCTCGCCACTTGCAGAATAAGGGACACTAGATGCGCACCCATCTGCGTTCTATCTTTGTGGACCTGACGAAAGCCTTGGACAGGTGAATCACAAAGGACTGTGAAAGATCATGCAGAAATTCGGCTGTCCCGAGTGACTTAATGAGATGGCGCGAGTAACGGACAACGGAGCTGTCTCAGAGGCATTCGCATTTACTAACGGTCTTAATCGGGGCTGCGTCATCGAGCCCACCCTCTTCAGTTTCATATTCTCTGCCATGCTGATGGACGCCTACCGTGATGAAAGCCCCGGGATCGGCATCACCCATTGGACGGACGGTCACCTTATGAATTAACGGCGGATGAACTTCCAATCTCGCGTATCCACAACCACCGTTCACGAACTTCTCTTCGCCGATGGCTGTGTCCTGAACATCACCTCGGAAGAGGAGGTGCAACGGAGTATGGACCTCTTCCTCGCCGTCCGTGAGAACTTCGGTCTGGTCATCAACACGCAGAAAACTGTGGTCATGCATCAACCGCCGCCACCCAAAATAGCCTTTCCTCTCAACACACCGCTGCAAATCAGTGTGAACGGAACCCAACAGCAAGTGGTGGAGAACCTCCCGTACCTGGGCAGCACCCTCTCCCGAAACACCAAAATCGATGACGAAGTCGCTCGCAGGGCCTAGAAAGCCAGTCAAGCCTTAGGCCGCCTCCAAAGCACAGTTTGGAATCTTCACGGTCTCTACCTGAGCACGAAGCTGAAGATGTACAAGGCCGTCATCCTGCCGACGCTGCTGCACGGAGCGGAGACTTGGACGGTATACCCGAGGCAGGCATGCCGACTGAACCACTTCCACCTCAGTTGTCTTCGTCGAATGCTGAGGCTGGGTGGGCAGGATCGTATCCCCAATACTGATGTACTGGAATGGACGGGAATCCACGGCATTTACACCATGCTGAGACAAATGCAGCTGCGTTGGAGCGGCCACCTGGTGCGCATGGACGACGAGCGACTACCCAAACGACTCTTCTACGGAGACATCGTGACGCGTTCTCGCTGCCAAGGAAGAGGATTGGTGGCTGACTTCTAAATCACCTGCAACTGCACTTCCAGTCACTTACATTCACAAATAACGATCAAGACTTCATTTCGCTGACAGCTGCTTTCTAAACGCTACCGCAGAGGGTGACGTACCAAAAGAATTGAGCTCTTCGCTGGCGCCAGCAATAACTTCTACCGGATGTCTGGCAACTCAGCATACAAAACACTCGACAGCGATGTCCACCGTGTTCTCCAAGATGTCGACTTGAGATGGATGTAATGGATACCTATAAGAACAAATTGTAATTAGTTGTATAATCCTTTGGTTGAAATGGTTAAGGAAGTTAACCGTTTTCTCGCACATTTGCCTGCCACTTCGAACGAGCTAAAAAGTCAGACTGGAAAATTGGCAAAGAAGTTTGGTTTTCTTCTTCCTAGAAGACTCCCAAACTTTCAGTGTCCGTCTCTTGTAACACCACTGAAAAAATCCACGACTTACCGGAGCTATTGTGCATTGTTCTTCGAATCTGCAACTCATCCTGCATCCTCATTTGCAGTAACTGTGACGTGATCCTAAGTAGCTGTTGGCATGACAGCTATCTTGCACTTTTTATGCTCCATCACTTATCTACTGTTAGCGTTCGAGTAGCCATGTTTTAATGGGTCTCACTTGCCCTAATTGTACTACTCCGCTTCCACTTGCTTAACCTGTGGCAGTGCGTTGGCCAGCGTTGTTCGGAAGCAAACTATATAACTTAAGCCAAACAAATTAGGATGATTCTGAGAAAAAATTAACGTTTTCGTCCTAGATCCTTACCTAATCCTTACTTTGGCACTGATGTACTTTTTAAGAAATGAAAATGAACTAATCTTTCCCAAATATCAACTCAATCCTATTTTTTTCATTTCTGTTGAACTTTTCGGGACCTAAATCAGCAACAACAGACTGCAGTTGAGAAGCCGTCGCAAAATTTACTGGTACCAATAAATTCTGTTGTCCATGCCTGCCTTAAATTCGTTCAGGGTAAATATTGCTCCAAGTTTCTCTGATATATTTTTCCGTTAATAAATTATCAACTTTTCTCTCTCTTCCTTATCTGTTTCATGATGTATTTTTCGACGAGAAAAATTGACTTTTCCTTCCTTAATCCCATACCTACCCTTGTTTTCAACTTTTGCTGGATCCTTCTTGGAAAAACTCCTACGTTTTCCCGATTTATTTGTTTACCGGGAGAAAAAACATTTTCCGTCGAAGGTCCCATCTAATTCCTAATTTATCTGACTGCCATTATATTTTTGGGATGAAAAAGTAGCTTTCCATCCTAAAAGATTGATTACTTGTCTTTTTTGGGTGGAACCACGACTTGTCGCGGAATCTCTAATTACCTGTTGACCCCCTTCCATCCCCCCCTACCGATTACAGTGCAGAATGTGCACTATAACCTTGAGAGTTCTCCACGAGTTCCCATTGGTCAGTTGACCTGGCACAATTCTCCTTTCCTTCGTCAGCCAATCTCCGCCTCTTCAGCGGCCTCTGTCGCCTTCACTGGCCTACACTTCTCCCCATTTTTTCATTTAGCGCTCGCTTTCTGGCGCTTTAAACGTAGGGTTAGACCATTGCAAGTTTCGCAATGTTTTTGGCGTTACATTGGTCCTGCTAAGCTCTTCTGCATGTGCATCGGGCGTAAAACTTACCACAGTCCCCGTCTTGGCTACCGCAACCTCACTATCGTTGCCTACTGTAACGTTGCCGAATAAGTGCGTAGTCATATGAGAAAGACGGCCGGCAACATCTATATTACCAAGGTGGCGCTTTGGGTACCGAGGTTGAAAGTTTAAATATACTATATCCACCAGCCTACGACGCCCCGTACTTGATGATACCCTCCCTCCAAATCAGTCACATTGCCACATACGCTCGGCCACTAATTTCAAAGCTTTTCAGTACTGCGAAAAGTTGCATCAACTGGCAAATACTTCGGTTGAGGCGAACAACGGTTTTCAGCAGAACGCCATTAGGCCTGTACAATTGCGCATAATATATATATATATGATGGTAAAAGAGCCCTCAGCGATCGTTCTTACGGAACTCCCTTGTTCCTCTGTGCCTTAAGGGCTAATTCTCGAGCCCACCCAGACAGAAATGGCCATTCTAGTCCCCCATGTCTTTGTCGATAATGCCAATCAGCTTATATATATATATATATATATATGAATAATGCAGGTAGTATGCATTCCGAGGCGATATAATAAAAGGAGAAGGCTCGTCGGAAAATCGAGGTATACTCGTGAATTTTCAAGTCGGTTACACCAACCCGTCGTCAGACGAAATGAAAAGTGTGAGGGAAATAATCCTACTGGGGAGTCAGGGGGAC